GGGGTGGTTCAACATACGAAAATCAATAAACATAATAAACCACATTAACAGAAGCAAAGACAAAAACCATTTGATCATCTCAATAGATGCAGAAAAAGCCTTTGATAAGATCCAACACCATTTCATGATAAAAGCTCTAAGAAAACGAGGTATAGAAGGAAAGTACCTCAACAGTATAAAAGCTATGTATGACAAACCTACAGTCAGCATTATATTTAATGGAGAAAAACTGAAACCATTCCCTCTAAAATCAGGAACTAGACAAGGATGCCCACTATCTCCACTCCTATTCAACATAGTACTGGAATTCCTAGGCAGAGCAATTAGGCAAGAAGAAGGAATAAAAAGAATACAAATAGGTAAAGAAACTGTCAAAGTATCTCTATTTGCAGACAATATGATCCTATACATTAAAGACCCCAAAAAATCAACTCAAAAGCTCCTAGACACCATCAATAGCTACAGCAAGGTAGCAGGATATAAAATCAACATAGAAAAATCATTAGCATTTCTATACACTAACAATGAACAAACTGAAAAAGAATATATGAAAACAATTCCATTTACAATAGCCTCAAAAAAAATCAAATACCTAGGTGTAAACCTAACAAAAGATGTGAATGACCTCTACAAGGAAAACTATAAACTTCTGAAGAAAGAGATTGAGGAAGACTAGAAAGTGGAAGATCTCCCATGCTCATGGATTGGTAGAATCAACATAGTAAAAATGTCTATACTCCCAAAAGTAATCTACATGTTTAATGCAATTCCCATCAAAATTCCAATGACATTCATTAAAGAGATTGAAAAATCTACTGTTACATTTATATGGAAACACAAGAGGCCACGAATAGCCAAGGCAATACTCAGTCAAAAGAACAATGCAGGAGGTATCACAATACCTGACTTCAAACTATATTACAAAGCAATAACAATAAAATCAGCATGGTACTGGCACAAAAACAGACATGAAGACCAGTGGAACAGAATAGAGGACCCAGATATGAAGTCACACAACTATAACCAACTTGTCTTGAGAAAGGTGCTAAAAATATACGATGGAGAAATAGCAGCCTCTCCAACAAAAACTGCTGGGAAAACTGGTTAGCAGTTTGCAAAAAAAACTGAAACTAGATCCATGTATATCACCCTATACCAATATTAACTCAAAATGGATCAAGGATTTAATCTCAGACCCCAAACTCTAAAGTTGGTACAGGAAAGAGTAGGAAATACTCTGGAATTAATAGTTATAGGCAAGAACTTTCTCAATGGAACCCCAGCAGCACAGCAACTAAGAGATAGCATAGATAAATGGGACTTCATAAAACTAAAAAGCTTCTGCTCAACAAAAGAAATGGTCTCTAAACTGAAGAGACCATCCTCAGAGTGGGAGAAAATATTTGCCAGCTACACATCAGACAAGGGACTGATAATCAGATTATATAGGGAACTTAAAAAACTAAATTCTCCCAAAATTAATGAATCAATAAAGAAATGGGCAAGTGAACTAAACAGAACTTTCTCAAAAGAAGAAATTCAAATGGCCAAAAAACACATGAGAAAATGCTCACCATCTCTAGCAATAAAGGAAATGCAAATTAAAACCACACTAAGATTCCACCTCACCCCTGTTAGAATAGCCATCATCAGCAACACCACTAACAACAGGTGTTGGCGAGGATGCGGGGGAAAAGGAACCCTCTTACACTGCTGGTGGGAATGTAACTAGTACAACCACTCTGGAAAAAAGTCTGGAGGCTACTTAAAAAGCTAAACATTGGGAGAAATAACCCAAGCGTTGTATGCACATATAAATAATAAAACAATAAAAAAAAATAAAGTTAATTCTCACTGCTTAAAAAAAAAAAGCTAAACATTGATCTACCATATGATCCAGCAATACCACTCTTGTGGATATACCCAGAAGAATGTGACTCAGGTTACTCCAGAGGCACCTGCACACCCATGTTTATTGCAGCACTAGTCACAATAGCCAAGTTATGGAAATAGCCAAGATGCCCCACCACTGACGAATGGATCAAGAAAATGTGGTATTTATACACAACGGTATGTTATGCAGCCATGAAGAAGAACGAAATGTTATCACTCTCTGATAAATGGATGCAATTGGAGAACATCATTCTGAGTGAGGTTAGCCTGGCCCAAAAGACCAAAAATCGTATGTTCTCCCTCATATGTGGACATTAGATCAAGGCAAACACAACAAGGGGATTAGACTTTGATCACATGATAAAGCGAGAGCACACAAGGGAGGGGTGAGGATAGGTAAGACACCTAAAAAACTAGATCGCATTTGTTGCCCTCAATTCAGAGAAACTAAAGCAGATACCTTAAAAGCAACTGAGGCCAATAGAAGAAGGGGACCAGGAACTAGAGAAAAGGTTAGATCAAGAAGAATTAACCTAGAAGGTAACACACATGCACAGGAAATCAATGTGAGTCAATGCCCTGTATAGCTATCCTTGTCTCAACTAGCAAAAACCCTTGGTCCTTCCTATTATTGCTTATACTCTCTTCAACAAAATTAGAGATAAGGGCAAAATAGTTTCTGCTGGGTATCGAGGGGGTGGGGAGGAGAGGGAGGGGGTGGGGAGGTAAGGGTAAGGGTGGGGGAAGGGGGGAAAAATGACCCAAACATTGTATGCACATGTGAATCTAAAAAAAGTCCATTTCACCATGATGTGCCCACTTTAATATACATGTAAGGATTATTTTTAAAATACCAAGTTCATGTGGGAAAGTGGCCTCAGGAATACAGTTATAATATATTCTACTTTTTTATCATCTTGATAGACATCTTAATATCTCTCAGTCTTTTGTTTTATCCCATGGAAAATGGTTTAAAGTGCTTTTTCTGTATTATTTATTTTTGCGTTTACACTGTTGAGGCTTGTCATCCATTTTTTTGCTAATTTTAAAGTAAAGATTTTTGGGTTTATTTGTGAGTTTACCAGTTTTGGTTTTATTTTTTATTGGAAAAGAAATGTGCTGATACAAATAACATTGCATAATGTAACACAAAATATATACGTCTAAACTTTAGCAGGAATTTTTATAGGTTAAATTATTTGTATAGCTTATTAGGAGGTTCAGGTTAGTCATCCTAAGAGTAGGTTATTTGTATGTGAAAACTTAAATTGTACAGTGTAAAATTCTTTGTGGTGTTTTTTTAAAACTTTTGCCAGCTCATTTACTGACAGATGTTGTTATTGCTAATGTGAAAACAAGATATTTGAGTATTTTAAAATACTTACTAAGATGTTTAATACTCTATAAAAACTTTAAATGCCTTCCATTCAAATGTAACTTTAAAGCAAAGAAAAGTGGTTTCATTTCAGTATATGGTTGCATTTTTAACTTTGGGTTGGTAAAAATGATTATTGGAGGAAATCTGTGGCAAAAATCAGTACCAGAGGACCAGGGAGCATGGTTCCAGTGGCAGAGAACCTGCCTGCAAGAGTGAAGTCCAGTACGACTGAAATAAACAAATAACCAGTAAGAGAAGAAACCCTCAATAACTTCCTCTTGCCAAGTTACGTTTGTGGTAGAGAGACAGTGCCTTTACCAGTACAATCTGCTCATAGAGCTGCAGTTCATCTTGCTGGGTGTGGGGTACTTTGGCTGTGTGTCGAATCCCAGAGTTCTCTTTACTTCATCCTTTCACATCTGCCTTTGTCATGGTGCATCTAACCACTCAGTAACATCAGGCCACTTTACCTTGATGTCAACCATATTTTATATCAAGTCTCTAGTATGAAGATTTTAAAAAAAGAAAAGACCAAGTTTATAACACATTTTCGCTATTATTTTGTTTGAGTCCACATTAGTAATGCATTTTAGCAATTTTGAATTATTCCACAATTTTAAGCTTATCAAGGTGAAACAAAATCATGGATTATCATCCTCCCCCAAAACAGTGTAAATTAAATTTACCCCACCTACATCTGTTCATTCCTTACTTCCTTTTAAGCATGTCTAGAGTAATATATTTTTTTCTGTCCTACAACCTTCAAAAGAGGCAGTTTAGGAAGTGTCCAGGACTGACTCCTGTTTAATGCCATTCCAGTTTTATGTGTGTGTGTATACGTTTATCTATACCTTGCTTTAAATCCGAGTAGCATATGCTATGATCATTGAATTTTAACCTCTTTGTTAGGAATTTATTTTGGAAAACTCTGCTCAGACATTTGGGGGAAAAAAATCAAATTGCTGTAGGGCTGGTGGAGTGACTCAAGCAATAGAGTGCCTGCCTGGCAAGTGTGAGACCCGAAGTTCAAACCCCAGTTCTGCAATCAATCAATCAATAAAGATTGCTCATAAAAAGGAAACCGCTGGGATAAACCAAGTTCGTTTCAAAACGTCTAAGGGCTGGCAGAGTGACTCAAGCGGTAAGAGCGCATGCCTAGCCAGCGTGAGGCACGAACTCAAACCCCAGAACTGAAAAATAAATAAATAAAAGCTTGCTTAGACATTATATTTCCTTTAAAAACTGCAATAACATATATTTGTCTTCTGCTCTAGAACTCTAAGTATGTAAGCTTGCCTATTGTAAATTTTACGGCAGTAAGATAAATATTTTGTTTAAAAACAAAATGTGCTCTGAACTACCGACTTGGGAACAGTGAGTGCAGAGCTAGCCTGCACTGGTGTGTGCATCCGCTAGGAAGCCTGGAAAGAAGCGCGGGAGAGCTGCAGCCCGGCCATCCTGCAGAGCACGAAGCACAAACCAGCAACCGGGGTTTTGCTGCGTGACCTCTTGTCCATTCCCCCAATGCTTCCAGTGGCTCCAGGCCACCTGCTCATGGCGGACAACTTTAACCTGCCTTTTCAGGGCCGCGCAGAAACAATTTGGCCTAATGAAATCCGTGCACGTGCCCACTCCCACTCAAGTGGGCAGCCCGGCTGATTCGGACTACATTTCCCAGGTGTCTCCGCGTCCTTCCGTTTCTGGTACTTTTTAAAATTTTTTACACGTGGTAGGAACGCAGCGGTCTGTGTCCCTGCTTTTCCACCCTGCGGAATCTTTGTGATGTCTGGTGCTGGGAGAAGCAGGCGCTGTCCAGAGGTGTGTGTCCAGTAGGAGACTGTAAGACTTTGGGACCCAGTTGCCACGCAGTAGGTCTCCTTAGGCCCGTAATCCCTTTTGTGGGAATCGGGATGGCGTCCGTCTGGGCGTGGCCACCTCGTTCCGCCCCTCAGGCTCCTGGGGTGTGTTGTACGTGTTCAGTAGTTCAGGTATCTCGGCTTCATTTGCTCGGAACCCGCTAATGGTGTTTCCCATATTGTCCGTAATGCCAGCTGGAAGGTGAGGCCGGTAGGGCTCAAGGATCCCAGGGCTTGGGCCAGCTCGGAGATGAACACGCCTGCGCCGCGCCGGAGTGGCCGTGCACCTTGCGGTGTATTTAGCCTGGGCGGGGATGGATGGAAGAAGCGTTATTGCGGTGACGTGACCCAGTTGCTTATGTGTGAAATGACTTTTAGCATACCTACTTACAAGAGGTAGAGGTACAGGAGGACTGATGGGGGGTCCTACAGCTTCCCGGCTTCCATGCAGAATCACCAACGTGGAAAGCATGCTAAGGTGTCTCATAACAAGGAGTCTGACAAGGATTTATTTTAGTATAACAGGATCAAGTATGGAGAAGGTGGGGTGCAGAGAAAAGGAAACATTTCCTGTCCCCCGTGCAGGAAATGGGAGCAAAAACTCAAAATGGTGGTCCAGTATTTGAGGTCTTACACTTTCCTGGGATAGGGGAAAGCAACGTCTCCAGAAGTCTAGCAACCGTAACCATTAGATAATGGTTCTGAGTGCTCCAGATGGGTGCTGCTTATTGTGCAGTATGGAGATGTTATCTACGCAAAGCACAGGGACTGTAGAAGAGTTTTGGCACTCCCTTTGCCAGGCAAGCCCCTCCCTCTACCCATTCAAGCATCTTCAAAAGAGGAAGGCAGATGCAGGTAGCCCCTTTTAAGTTTCCCTGTGCCTGTAACAACATCTAGACTTAATAGACTTAACTATTTTGGGGGGAGGTGGAGGGGCCGCCTGGGTTTGAACTCAGGGCCAATCTGCCAGCCCCTGTAACATGTAAAAGGAGATGGGAGCGGGCTAACTGCTGGCTTTTCAGTTTTTTTACTTTCTTGTTTTAATGTCTTGAGTCTGTCTCTTTAAAAATTTATTAAAATAATATAATTTCCCTGTCTCATCTAGCCTCAGTGGTTTGTGAGGATTAAATGGAATCTTGATATGAAAGAGGCAACACAGCGCCAAGCGATAGTAGTTATTAATGGTAGACAACCATCTCCCCATTTGCACATAAAAAGAAATTGATATCCACAAAGGAAAAGTACCTTGTTGTGCATCAGCCTGCCATTGCACATAGTAGAAATTAGAATCCAGTCCCTGTGCTTGTGTATTTTTTTGGGCTTGGGTAACAGAGTCTTTATCATTTTCTTACCTTCTGTGTGTATGTCTCTGCAGGAATCTGGGGTAAATGAACTAAAGCCTGCCTGTGTTTGGGGCTTCCAAGACTGAGTGGCTGCTGAATTGACTTTATCCTTAACACAGAAGATACTGCTTTGGACTCCCTGTTTGCTTTATGAGTAGTGTCTCTGAGGAAGGAAAAGGAAATATAATGAAAAAGAGTTCAGAAAATTTCAGAGTCTCTTACCAGTGTTCTGAAAGAATGATGGCAAAGGAAGAGACATGAAAGACTTGGAAAGGGTTGCTGTACCCAAATGGTGGTACGAAGTGTATGATCATGGAGGATTGGACCCACAAATTCCAGAACAAAGGTAAGAGATATGAGAGCAGTTCTGCTTATAAGTTCAGCACATGCAGGGTATACATTGCACATATAACCTTTTCTTCACAACAACTGCAAAATTTGTGGGCAGTTCTGAGACCTTGGGCAAGTTACCACTTTTGTCTATTACTAAAAGTAATTTATGAAAAGCACCTGGTACATGGTGAGTATTTAAAAAATGGAAAGTTTTATTAATGCCATTCCCTTTGTACTTCTGAGAAAATAAGATATCCCACTTGCAAAACTTTCTATTATATCATCTCTCACCTGTGCATGATGAGCAAGGGGGCAAGTCAGATTCCTTGGAAAGAAAGAAGGAAATAGGCATGGAGAAGCTGATGATTTCTTTTGGCATTTTTGCACTTGGGGGGATGGGGTGGTAGGTGCTCTGATCTCTTGAACCATTATGAGTTCAGAGCTGAGGCCATCTCCCTGCTACCCAGTTCTGGCAGAAATAGGACCTGTACCTTGGCTCTCTTTAAGTTCCCTCTCAAAAAAAAAAAAAAAAAATGGTGCTTTCTTTTAAGAAAATACAAAGAGGTAGCATAAATTAGAAAGGACTTCCATAGTGTCTCTGACTTTTCCATAACATCCTGACCTCAGCCCCTCTGCTTTCTTGAGGTCCTGGAACTTACAAGTTCCTTTTGGCACCTATTCTTTATTGAGTGTCAATGACCAGTATAGGGAGGGGTAAAATCTTGGGGGGGGGTATAACAAATTATAGTGTGTTTTCTTAAAGCCCTTTTTTTTTTTTTTTGCTGTACTGGATCTTGAACTCAGGGCCCTTTTTGTGATAGGTATTTTTGAGATAGGGTCTCATAAACTATTTGCCCTGGCTGCCTTTGAACTTCGATCTTCCTAATCTCTGCCTCCTGAGTAGGTAGGATTATAGTTGTGAGCCACCGGCTCCAGCTGCCCTTTTGTTAAATGAGGAAACTTGTCTGGAGTCATACGGAGCCGGGTGTTCTTGTGAGAAAGGACTGTTGGAGGCATGAATTTCTAAAAAATTGTGAAATACTGTATTGTTTATGATGACCGAAGGCTAGAAATTACCTACTTTTTTCTCAGACAGATCCACAACAGGCTTTAAGTATTTCTTTTGGGATATGAGGAGTGGGGGGGGGTGGTGGTGGGAGGAATTAAATAGTAAACTGTAAAATATTAGGAAAATGGAAAGCAGAATGAAGTGAATAGCATGTGACTCTACTGCCCAAAGATAGGCTCCAGAATGCTCAAAGATAATATGATCAGCAGTTTTCTCCCTGTAGTCAAAAAATCAAAACGAAGAAGTGTTGGCAATAATGGTGCTGATAGGTTTCGGTTCTTACTGCACCCTTAAGCTTCTGTTTTCCAGGGTCACGGTCCTGCCTCAAGTCTAGCTTGAATCCTCCTTCTGCCCCAACCTCCAATCAGCATGAACCATAAGATCCTAACCAATCAGATCATGCCGAGTCTCACTGAGGGGTATTTAAGCCCCTGCCCTTCCTGCTTCTCTCTCTTGGCTCTCTTGGCTCTCTCGCTCTCCCACCCAGCAATAAAGAATCTCTTGGCCAGATCACTCCTCTCCACGTGGTCACTTTTGGGGCCTACATTTCCAACATTTTGGTGCCATGACTCGGATGGGGGCTTCCCACTAATCCTGGTGGGACCACCATTCCAACTCACCCCACATCCACCCTGAGGAAGTGACTGGCCAAGACTCATTCTCCTGATCGTTCTGCTTGCATCCAACACTGGACATTCTTTGGTGAGTCCACATACCCTTATTGGGCTCCCTTTGTGGTCTCTCCCTTCGGTGTCTCCGGGGTTTTCAAACATTTCCCGTTTGGCTATCTCTGGGCGGCTCAGGCGATAGAGGGATTCCCTTCCTTGTCGGGCTTGGATCCATTTTGTTGTGGGTCTCAGAGACCCGTCGTCAAAAAGCCTGGGCCCAGGTGACCCATAGCCCTTGGCCCATCGGTGGCCTTGCAAACCACCTGAACTCAGTGATGACTGATTCTTGTACGCTTTGCATTCTCTTGGATATTTGTGCTGTGTGAGGACGTGCCACAGTACATAATATCCGGGTCCCTCATAATGGGTGCCTCTACATCTTCTCTGCCATCTGACTCCCCACTGAGATGCCTCCTCAATAATTTAGACACCTTGGGTTTGACCCCAGCTATAAAACCAAAAAATTTGATCTGCTTTTGCACTGAAATCTGGCCCACTTATCCTTTAGACAACCAAAATCACTGGCCCCTTTTCAGGTCTTTAAATCCCAACCTTTTACAGGACATATAACTACAGTGAGCGATCAGGATGATGGGGAGAGATTCCATTATGTCCAAGCCTCTTCATACCTCCATCTAAATCCGGCTCCCTGCACCACTTGCAAGCCAAAACATGTACTTCTTGCCTTCGAACCCTCCCTCTGTACTTTCTGTTCCCCTGCGCAGATTCTGTCAGCCTGTAAACCAGTTTCTAAATCAGCCATCTCCCCGTCCCAGCCTGGGCTGCAGCAACAACCCCGGCGCCAACAGAGCAGCCAATTCCTCTCCCAAACCTCCTCCTTCCCCCTGTAAACAGACTTCTTGCACTGCTTATCATGCCTATCTCTTCTTATCTTCCTGAAAAACTTTCCCTGTCATGGAGTTAAGCAAGCCACTCCTTGCCAATTCTGGCTCAAGGCGATTCCAGCTCTGGGAGAGCTCATGCTTTATTCGGTGACTGGAGAGTGGAGGTTTCATTTCCTGAAAGCCTGCCAGTACCAATCAATGGGAGCAACCTAGAGACACAGGTGATGGCTAATCCCTCAGGCGTGTGTCATGCCTCCAGGCTCTGCCTTCCCCTCCCTTACCTAAGATGTCAGCACACCTTTCTGCCTCCTCCATGGTCTCACCATGTGTCCTTTGTCTCTGTCTGCCTTCCCCTCCCTGGGCTTACTGGGACCCTGCCTCCCATGAAAAACCTGTAGCATGGTACCTTATGACTTAAGTTATTCCAACTAGTTTGCCAGGCCTCTCAGTCTAAAGTAACTTTAAGTCAGCTGCTTTATAAAAGCGCTTACAAAAACCTGCAGCTGCCACACTCATACTGTAACTCTGCCCCCACAAGGGGAGGAGGGAAAGCAAACAGGTGTGCCTGTGCACAGGATGCTGGCTTCTGGACACAGCAAAAACCCCTGCCATAGCTAAGAAAATCCATAGAGAGGACCCAGTACATCCTGGGCTGCCAGCCACACGTGATGATGGCTGCAGCCTGCTGCCACTTCCCCTAGAATAAACGTGCGCAGAGTACACAGGAAGGGGGGAGGGGCGACAGGCCGCAGGATCAGGCCTAGGCAGTCAGGGTCATTTGTTCCAGGTGTGTGTGGAGGGAGTGGCGCCTTGCACAAGTCCTGCTCCTAGCCCCACCTCACACCTGAGGGCATCAGACCCTTGTAAGTCAATTGTTAGTTCCAGGTTATAGTTCCAGAAATAACAAAATAGACATTACTGTGGTCTCTAAATTTCTCATTTAGAATTTTCTATACCTTTGGCCTCAGCATAAATTTTTCCCTCCAAATATTAACACTAGTTGTCCCGTATGGCACTGTAATTGGCCTGAAATGCCCTCTGAATGCCCTTCTCTAACTTTACAAATGATTTATTTCTTTGTTAAAAAAGTAGCCTTTATTAAAGAGGTTGTCTGCTGTTAGCTAAAAGACAGGATCTTAATGTTTTGTTCTTTCTAGATGGGACCTGCATCTTCCAGTCTTTGGCTGGTAGATGTTGGAAGCTTTGTACTGAGGCCTGGCCTAAGTACGCCTTGGGTGACCAAGAGAAGTGGCCTTCACAGAGTTCCTTAAATTACAATACCATACTCCAATTAGACCTTTTGTATAAAAGTAAAAGTAAACTGAGGTCCCCTATACAAATTTCTACCTTGTAAGCCATCCCAATACTCAGAACCTCTTAATGAGTGCTTCCCTCTCCAACAGGCAATGGTAGGAAGAGGGCAAATCGTATGTCCCCTTCCAGTTATCAGATCTAAGGGAAATTTAAAAACATCTAAACAGCTGTACTGATGCCCAGACAAATACATTCAAGCCTTTATCTCTGTGATCCAAACCTTTCAACTGACATGGAAGGAAATTATGCTTCTACTAGACCAGACTCTTATCTCATTAGAGAAGCAATGGGTTCTGGCCCAGGCCACTCAGGTTGGAAATGATTATGTGGCTCAAGCAGTAGAGTGCAGCTTTACAAGCATCAAGTCCTGAGTTCAAGCCCAGTACAGCCAAAGTAAAAATAATAATAATAATAATTGGGGCTGACAAAGTAGCTCAGTGGGAGAATGTCTGCCCAGCATGTGCAAAGCCCTGGGTTCAATTCCCCAGCGTTACTAAAATAAATAAATAAATAAATAAATAAAGGTAAAGAAGATAAGTGGCATTAATGTCACTTCAGCCATCTCATAGTAGAAAAACGTAGTTTAACCTAGACCAGATCCCTCATTCTTCAAGTGAGGAAACTGAGGCCCAGAACAGTTCAGAGACTTGCTCTCCAGAGTGTCAGGTGTCAATGTAAAATAACAACTTTACAGCAACAACTTAAAAAGAAAAAAATCCTCTTACCTTTCTACAGCATCTTAAGGACGCTATCAGAAAGCATACCACGGTGGACTCAGAGTCACAGGTGAGAGAGGTTCTCCTCAAAGATAAATTTCTAACAGTCAGCCCCAGATATTTGTAAAAACTCAGACTGTGGCTGAAGGGAAAAGTCACTGAACCAAGTAATATAGCTAGCCATGTCTGTATTTATGGCTATGTCTGTATGTCCAGGACCTTACTCATAGGAGAGAAAAAGATAAGAGACACCATGGCCTCATTGCTGCTCTCAGAGAGGGCCCCACCCGACTGGGGCCTGTATTCTGAACTTGCTACCATGGTGGGCAGGAGGGGCATTTCTGCAGAGAATGCTTAAGGGGGGACAGCCCAGGAGACAGCCCCGCCCTCAACCGGGACCCTGCCCTCTGCAAGGGTAACCACTGGAGGTTTAAGTGCCCCTGTCACCAGATGGAAGATGAGGTGCCACCTTCTATGGATTGATGGGTCCAAGCCTCCTGTCCACACTCCACTTCTTGGCATCAATGTTGAAGAGCCATAATAGTAGAAAAACAAGAGGTCCTTTTCCTCCTAGACAGTGGAGTCCATTTCTCTGTTTTACCTTTTTCTCCTGGTCCCCGATCCATTGACAATAGTTATCGTTTGGGGCAAATCTGGCCAGTCCCTAGAGCGCTAGTTTTCCTGGCCTCTGGCCTGCCCTTGGGAAGACCTCCTCTTCTGTCACTCTTTCCTCATAGTACCTAAAACTCCAGTGTCCGTGCTGGGACAGGATTTACTATCCCAATTAAAAGCTCAAATTCTCCTCCCCCCAGGCAGCTATCTTTGCTGCCCCCTCCTTCAGGAACAAATAGATTCCACAGTGTGGACTGATGAGATGAGTGTAGGGTGAATAAAACTCAAAAATCCCTCATAGTTTCCACACCTAAAACAATATCCCCTCAAGCCTGAGGAATGATGAGGCCTTATGCTTATCATAAATTCCTTAAAACAACAAGGGCTACTAATTAGTTGCTCCAGCCCCTATAATAAATTTAAAATTCTTATAAAAGTTAATTTTAAAATACAAGTTACAAAGTAAACTGGAAAGGATATAGATAGGTAATAAATGTATTTTTTGAGAAGTTAAAGGAAAAAGGAATGGTTTTTTGGATGAGAAGGGATTTTGTAAAGAAGGGGTTTGTCCTAAAGATTGTTTCAAATAGGAAAGATAAGGACAAACCATCGAAGGGTTTAGTATGTTGTATGCAGGTCTGAGTAAGTTTGAAAAGTGTATAATAAAGCTTTGGTGTGTGAAAGTTAAAGTTGAATATAATCTAAGAGTTGCCTAAAAGATTTTTAGGGTCATGTCAAACTAAAATCAAATCCTCTATGTCTATGAAGTAACAAGGTTATCTTAATATTGTTCTGCTCTGAGTAACATCTACAAAAAGCCATTACAGAGAAAGATTTTATCAAAGAAATTATTCGTGTTTTCTGCTGATCTTGTCAAGCTTTAAGTACTACTAAATCAGAGTTCATTTACATATTTGCTTATGTGTCTTAAATGACCACCTTGTAACAGTGTTATGTTATACTTTATCTAAATATGGTACAAACATTTAAAAGGTTAAAAGTGTCAATTTATATAAAATAATGAGCTAAAGCTCTCTTTTATCCAAGAATGTTACATTTAAATCCTGAAGCCCCTGCCTCCCACAGGTCACCTACCTAGGTGTGGCCTTAAAGGGACAGACTCACTCCCTGAGTCATAAATGCATCAACCCAATCTTCCATTTCCCAACCCCCATACCATAAGACAGCTTACAGCTTTCCTGGCAGTTACAGGATTTTGCAGAATTTAGATCCTTAGGTATGTAGTCCCTGAACAAGACACCTTTTTATGCTCCTCCTAATATTCCTGTTTGGGTCTTAGATAATGTATGGCCACCCATTTCTCTCTCTGTAGTTGGAGGACTCTTGAAATTGTCTAGGGAAGAACATTTCACAGTGGTTCTCCTGGCCAGTGCCCATCCTGATGCCTGTGTTCTTGCTCTCCTATTCTTAAGCTTCCTCCCTTGTGTCACACTACATGTCAGCTACTGCTAATCAAAAGTTTAACCAGCTGTACCTCCAGGGATACCAGCCTCTCCAAAACACGAGGATAGTTGGCTGATACCCACCACGTGGAGGTCGGAGGATTGGCTCGAGACTCTTTATGACCTGTGGCTACAAGGGACCTTCATCAACTTCAGGGAGGAGGAAATTTTCACCTTTGGAGCCTGGGTGTACGCCATCATGAGGCTCACCACCCCAACATTGTTTGCCAACTAACCCTGCCTTCCCCTATGCCACCCCTTGTCAGCTCAAAGAAGCCAGCGCCAACACAACGCCCCCCTTCCTTAATAAACAAAAAAGGGAGGAATGTTGGCAATAATGGCACCGATAGGTTTCGGTTCTTACTGCACCCTTAAGCTTCTGTTTTCCAGGGTCACGGTCCTGCCTCAAGTCTAGCTTGAATCCTCCTTCTGCCCCAACCTCCAATCAGCATGAACCATAAGATCCTAACCAATCAGATCATGCTGAGTCTCACTGAGGGGTATTTAAGCACCTGCCCGGCAATAAAGAATCTCTTGGCCAGATCACTCTTCTCCATGTGGTCACTTTTGGGGCCTACATTTCTAACAAGAAGTAAATCATAAACAGAAAGTTCCTTAAAGGGCATGGAATCAGACAAAGGGAATTAGGTGAGTTGTTCATTAGTGTTCATTAGTTCACAAACTTGGGCCTACTTTCTGCCAGGCACACTGTGGTAAGTGCTTAAGATGCAGGGTTGAATGAGATGAAACACTGTAATTTTGTGGATCATGTGTGGTGCAACAGATGGTATCTTCGCCCTTTTCTGCCACAGACTGATGCAGGTTTTTTTATTTATTGTTTTGGCAGTATTGGGGTTTAAACTCAGGGCCTCACCCTCAAGTGCTCTACCACTTGACCCATGCCTCCAGCCTTTTTTGCTTTATTTGTTGTGGAGATGGGTCTTATGTTTATGCCCCAGCCAGCCTGAACCATACTCCTGTTCACGCTTCCCTGGTAGCTGTAATAACAGGCACCCCACACAGGCTAGCTTTTACTGGGTGAGGTGGGATCTCAAGAACTTTTTGCTTGAGCTAGCCTTGAACCTTGATCCTTGATCCTCCCTATTTGTGCCTCCCAAGTAGTTGGGATTATAGATAGGAGCCATGTAACCAGCCAAACTGAGTAACTTATAGTGGTTCTGGAGACTGGGAGAGGCCAAGGTCACGGCACTGGCTCAGCATCTCCAGAGGGTCTTTAGTTGCATAATTACATGGCAGAAGGTAGCAGGGCAAGCAAGCATGTGAGATAGAGAGGACCTTGGGGCTTAGTTTGCCCCAATCAGGAGCTCACTCCTGTGGTAACTAGTTGTTGCAGTAACAATTTAATCACCACTTACAGATCCCACCTATATAGTACCATCATGATAATTAAATCTCAGCATGAGTTTTGGAGGGAACATTCAAACCATAGATTTGCCTTGAGCCAGTATTACTCAGGATGTGATGGTTGGAGACCTCTCTGAACTTGACACTGTTGTCCTGTGCTTCTGGGCTCTTTTTTCTTGTTCTATAATGTTAGGTACTTTATTCATTTTTAAAGTAGTTGAGGCTAGTGAGCTTACAATTTTTTTAATTGACAGTAATTGTATGTGTTTATGCAGTCCAGCATGGCATTTCAATAGAGGTATGCAATGTGTAATGATCAGATCAAGGTGATTGGCTTGTCTGTCACCTTAGGCCAGAATTTCTTTCCAGCCCTAATTTTACTGTTTGTATCTTTCTTTGTTGTTAAATCCCTGGACACCTAATTCTCACAGCGTTGTCTCATGCGGATCCTAAACTCAGTTGATGGTCATTTCATTTCCTGACTTAGGTTTACATTCGTTCTACTCTCTGAAATTATGTTTTGAAGCCTCATTACTGGATGTCTGTGAAGTCTTTGAAACTACATGACTGTCAAGAGGCACATTTTGTTATAAGTATGTCTAATGAAACATGTCTGAGATATATAAAGATAAACTAGATTCCTTTATAAATCTTTGTTTTCAGCTGTGCCATCTCAGGACCCTGCCATTTCCCAAAAAAGGTATCTTGTTACCAGACAACAAGTCCCAGGTGAGTTAGGGATTTTCCTTTCTTCCTGAAATCTCATTTTTATTCCTCGAGCAAATTTCTTTCTCTTAGCCTGAAGCTTGTCAGTACCTTTAGAAGCCATAGTTTGGAAAAACAATTAAATGGGTGAGGCAGACTGCTAACAATATAGTGTTTGGGTGGCCCCCTCAGTTGTGTGGAAGTAACAGTGATGGCCAGAAGACCTGACAGCCTCTCCCATCAGTTGGCAGTCTACAGAGAGGTGGGGAAGATGAAGTTTCTTTGGCAAATAATTGGGGAGGATAACTAATACAATATAGTTGGCTCAAAGCAAAACAGAACAGGACAAAAATTTTTAAAAAAAAGATTTATGAACGGATAATAGTTTCTGATATCTCAAATACTTAAATTATTTAGAATTACTTTATTGTAAATTTTGAATACATAGGATTCTTTGTTTATAAGTTTTATCGTGTTGGTGTTCTTTTTTCTTTTTTTCTTTTTTTTTTGCAGTACTGGGATTTGAACTCAGGACCTACAACCTGAGCCAGTCTACCACCTCTTTTTTTTGTGATGGGTTTTTTTGATCAGTTTACCCCAGCTGGCTTTGACCTGAGCTCCTGATCTCTGCCTCCTGAATTACCTAGGATTACAGGAGTGAGCCACTAGTGCCCGGTCTGGTAATGATTTTCTTATAGTTGAGTTCTAGATATAAAGTTGCTATCAAATTACTCTAAAATTTTTTTCAAAAAGATACACATATTTTAAGATTCCTTAGTGTAATCTCACTTTTGACACAGTGAACCTACTTTGGATCCATTTCCTGTCCATTGCATGAATACCCTCTAATTCTTCCTTCTTCAACCTTCAGAACTCCATGCAGGTGGTTTAGGACTTTGTGTCACTCAAGGATGTAGCTGTTAACTTTGCTGAGGAAGAGTGGAGAGAGCTGGACTCTGCTCAGAGAGCTTCGTACAGGGATCTCATGCTAGAAAATTGCAAGAATCTGGTCTTCTTGGGTAAGCTTGGTTCCTTTCACCTTAGATTGGCTTTTTGGGATACCTTTGCTTTTTACAGATCCCTCTGTGCCTATTAGGGTAAAATAACAAGTGAAGCCTTGGTTATTTTTCCCTCCAGAGTCCAGATTAGATTCTAAAACTGTTTTTCACACTACTTAAGTAGAAAACATTCAGTTGCCTTTGACAATTAGTTATCCTGTCTTCTTCTATCTAAAGTAAAACAGAATAGGTCTTGAATGGCATAGTCCTTGTCTTTTGAATTTGCAATTACTTTCTATTTCTTTCTTTCCCTGGAGTAGGTTTTTAGCTTTTAAAACTGATTATTATCTCCTCGTTGGAATAAGCAGTAAACTTATGGATACAAATACAAGAGGGAAAAATGCTAAACATCACCTGTATGCATAAGTGAGCAAAGCTGAGAGCATCTTTTGAAGTAGGACTTCCCCAAAATACCCCGGGCATGTAGAAAATGTTGAAGTCCCTGGCTTCACAGATTTGGCCTCTGGTGAGGGTTGTGGATAGCAGGGGTATCATATAAGAGTGAGCAATCATTTTGAACCAGAGTAGAGAAGAAAGAGACAGATCTCCCACAATACCCTTTTGACCAAAGGACCTTCCATGAGATCTCACCTCTTAAAGGTTGACAGCACCTCCCAGTACCTCCAGCCAGGGGACCAAGTCTATTCATAAGGGTTGGGGGGGACTGTGAAGGACACTTAACATTCGAACCATAGAAGACGTGGGTGAATGGGGGAGAGCCCAAAATGACAATAGTGTTGAGGTCCAGAAAGCTTCAGATACTGTGCTTCCACAAGGTGGCAGTAATGCTTCCTACTGAGATGTTAACATCAAACCACAAATTTAACTTCACTCAGTTGATGGTAAGTTACTCTCTTCACACACACTCTGAAATGTTTTGTTACAAAGTCAGTCTTTTCAACAGATTCAAACAGAAAGTAACAAATATATAGAAAGCATACACAAAACATAGCGATCATCTGTCCGCCCTTCAAATCTACCCTTTGGAGTTGTTTAATGTGCATGCATCTGTTCAGATTTTTTCCTTCTGTGTGTGTAGTACACACATAACTAGGATTAGACTGTTTCTTTTGCTTTCAACTCATTTTTCACTCTCAACATTATACTGAAGACATATTTTAAAGTAATTTAGAGCTACCTCATTTTTAAATAGTGTTCATAGTGTTTTGATTGCATATTATACTACATATATACATATATATGTACATACATATATTCATTCTCACTAGGTTCTTTCCATTTTTTCCTAATACGTGAAAATGTTATTTCTGTAGGATCAATTCCTGGAAATATGAAAGCTGGGTCAGAGTATATGTACACTTAAAATATAAACAAAATGTATAAAGAGATACCATAAATCAATTTAAAAACAACATAAAAATGAGAAAAGGAAACAATTTAATCTTTTCTTTCTTTCCTTTTTTTTTGTGGTACTAGTGTTTGCACTCTCCTTGAGTACTGCTAAGGTTGCTGTCCAATTCATTAAGACTATTTTCCTTTGTCACCTCAAGTGCTATACATTTGCCAGAGATTTCATTCAGCCTTTACTTTTTTCCTTCTCTCTGAGTTTCCCAACACACCAGTCAAACGCTTAAAGTGTCCAAGTCCAAGGTTCTGTTCTTTGAGCTAAAGTGCATAGGAGAGGTAGCAACCTTGGGAGGATGGAAACTTGAGTTGTTTATCCGCAGTTGTTAGAAGTATCTGTAGCAGTTCTAAACCAGTGGTTCTCAACAGGGGACAATTTTGCCCTTCAAGGGACATTTGACAGTATCTAAAGGTGGTATGGGCGTCTAGGAGAGAAAGACCATCTGGTGGAGTGGTTCAAGTGGTAAGAGCACCTGCCTAGCAAGTATGAGGCCCTGAGTTCAAACCCCACTGCCGCCAAAAGAGAAAAAGGCGGCCAGGGGTGCTGCTAAACATCATGCAATGTACATGTCAGTACCCCACAGCCAAAATGTCGGTATTGCTGTAGTTGAGAAATTTTGGTTCATGTGGAAATGTCTTGAGGGTAGAGGATTATAACAAGGATATGTGGAAATGATTTTAGTTAAGGAAAGAGGTCATAACTGGTGGTACAGATTTAAGGGTAATATGAGAATAGATGGCGAATGAAGCTGTGAAATTGGATGAGGTCACCCAATGAGCAGGGATAGAGTTGCAAGAATGCCTGGAACTCTAATGAATACAAACAATGTCTGCTGTGTGTGTGTAGTGTGTGTGTGTAGTGTGTGTGTGTGTGTGTGTGTGTGTGTGTCACTTAATATAACATTTCACACCAGGAAAAAGCTGGTAGCTCAAATAATTAAAATGGTAATTTTTAGTAACAGGCAATGGCAATAAGAGCATATTCTATAAATTTTTGTATTTAAAATTTTTTCTTTATAATTAAAGGACAGTCCAAAAGGCATGCCAATAGTAGCCATAATGAAGAGACAAATTAGGTCAAACTGATTGTCATAGAGTCAATAGAAGAGAACATTTGAAGGAGGAAAAGGCTTGTAGTGTTACATGCCATAGGTGTCAAGTATAAGAGACCTGAAAAATGTCTATTAGACTTAGTATTGGCAGGTTGTTCCTTTTTTTTTGGCTAACTTGGTAGTAGATTACTCCCCTTCTAGTCATTCTGTCCTCTGCTTAACTTCCATTGCCTTCTTTTACCTTTCATTTCCTTACATCATGTAAGGTTGTCAAATTCACATAATAAAATTACTTTAAAAGTAGTTCTCAACTTAAAAAGACATATGTGCTATTTGTTTTGCCCACAATAGGATTGAAAGAGCAACTTGCAATATCTCCAATGTACAGTTCCACATTATAACAATAAAAATATGTCTTATGATTTACATGGTGCAGTTGAACTAGTTCTTTGGTAGTAGGCCCGTTCCCCTGATCATCATCAGTTGCCTCCAGCAGAAGCCAGAAGCATGTAGATCCTTGTACACATGCCCCCACTCCTCTTCCAGACCCCAGATAGAACGTCACAGGACTCTGTACGCCTTTCTGCATGACTCCAGTTAGATACTGCTGCTGAATAGCCAGTTCCCTCCTACTTCATGAAGCCTACTTTTCTTTTTTTCCCACTTTTTATTAGCATATATTTGCTGTACAAAGGGGTTGCATTTTGATGCTTCCCTTGCACACAATGTATCCCATCAGACCCAGCCCTCCGTCACTCCTACTCAACCCCCTTCGCTTTGTTGGAACAAATTCAGCAGGTTTCATTGTTCTGTTTTCATACGTGCATATGGAATGCTTTGACCATATTCAGTCCCACCCCTCTTCTTTCACCCTCCACTGATACCCACCCCCAAACCACGCCTGTATTACATTTCCATCTTTTTTTGGTGGGGGGTAGGACTGGGGTTTGAACTTAGGGCTTTGCAAGAGCTCTACTGTTTGAACCACACTTTCAGTCCATTTTGCTCTGGTTATTTTGGAGATATGGTCTTACAAACTGCTTGCCTGGGCTGGCCTGGAACCTTGATCTGTGTCATTTATTTTTAAGGACTAGAGTCTGCCTGTGAGAGAGAACATGTGATACTTGACTTTCTCAGTCCAGATTATTTCACGTAACATGATCCTGTAGTTCCATCCACTTTCGTGCAAATGACAATGTCATTCTTAATGGCTGAATAATAAACCACTTTGTTTGTGTGTGTGTACCACATTTTCTTAATTCATTTATTGATGGGCATCTAGGCTGATAACAGTGTTTGGCTACTCTGTGAATAGTGCTACTGTAAACATGGGAGTGCAGGTATCTCAACTATGTAATTGACTATACTTATAGCAGTCATGCCCCAAAGACACATCTCACTGGCCTCCAACTAGGGCCAACCTCCTACCTTTCCACCTACACCGTGCAATAATATTATAAGTCCATCAAAGGATTCATCCATTCATTAGGTCAGAGCCCTCATGATCTAATGGAAACACCCTCAGAGACACTCAGAAATGTGCTTTACTAATATGTGTCTATTAATTTAATTAAGTTGATCGTCAAAATTACTTTCTCATGTTCTGTTTATCTGGGCTTTTTATTATTCTCCCCTCTAACTCAAATGCTTATGACCCTCATCTTCTGTACTTTATGAATTCTCTGGCCAGTTGTGTCCAAACATGATGCTGAGTCTACTTCATCAGCTTAATCCAAGCCTAGGTTCCCTAAGGCTACACCCACCCCTGGGCATGTGCTCCTTTAGGGGCTTCACGTGTTTCCACTTCTCTGCCTCAGTAGAAAGAGGGTAGTAACAGTGTGCTGCCTCCTTAACATTATAGACATACTTCCTTTCCCCTACTTGTGTGGAATCCCCTTGTACCACCTTTTCTGAATTATAGCTGCCACCGTGTATCTTTCATAGATCATTTTAGAACCAGGTGTTAAGTTCATAGTTAAGCCCCATTTTAGTGAATGTGTTGCTTTGGTTGGCCTGTATTCACCATGGGGCACCTGCTAAATGTTATTTTTGTGAAACACATTGCCCTTCTTCTGTGGCTACAAGGGGCACTGATAACCCAGTACTGCATATGGACTGATAATAGCATAGCATTAGACCAGACCCAGGGATGGACAAGCAGAGTAACCAGTTAGTTTTATGGAGATGGTCTTTTTTCCTTTTGGGATCTCAAGTTGTAAAGATAAGGTTTTGGGCCTGCACTTGACCATCTTTCCTGGCACCTGGAGAGTATGTATCATTTAGGATGTTTCAAGCTGGAGTAATAAGGATATTTCTTACAATTTGACAACTGAAAACAAGCAGTTTTAGTTTAACAGCTCAATAATATCATTAAGCCTCATACCACTTTTCTGTTTCATTACCCTTAGCTTACTGACTTGGTCATCGCCTTGGTCCTCATGATTGCAAGATGCTGCTGCAGCCTGAAAAGCTGAGCTGTCCATCAATTTGGAAAGGAAGTCAGAGTTTCAGACATCTTGTACATGTAGGGGTGGCAGTTGTTTGGGACCTGTTTCATATCTTGTATGTATTTTGTTACCTCTATGGTATCTAGCATTAAGCATCAAATGGATGCAGAGTAAATAATGAATGAATGAAAGCTGCTCTGGATGAAGAGGGGACAGGCAAGTGGAAATATTTTCTAAGTTATTTATTGGATCAGACCTGGCTTTTGGACAAATGAACACACTCAAAGGGCACTTTATGGTTAGGAAAGGATGAAATGAGGAAAGATGTTTCAGGAGGGAGAGGAAGTGCTAGTTCACTGGAGAGTATTGTGCCCATTTCCTCCTTTTCTCAGGAGTAGAAGGCCTCTGAGAAGACAGCTGAAGTACAGATAGTGACTGAGATGTAGAGAGTTCCACTGTTCCACCTCCAGCCAAATCAAAAGAAACTTTCCCAGATCTGTTGAATGACTACCTCACTGTGAGAGACTCCTATCCCAGGATCAGCAAGAAGGTCCCTACACCATCTACCTGGAACCTTTTTGGCTTTGGAGTCACAAATGTGAGTTTAATTTGTGACTATCATATGTTAAATACATGGCTTTGGGCCAGTTACCCATCTTCATAAAACTGCTGTTTTCTATATCATAGAAATTATGTGTATCTGCTGCTCAATTGAGTTCCTGCTCTGGAGGGGTACTTAGCTATGATGTTTATGCTTTTGGTGGTGATTTTGATGGCAGTGGCCAGGGCAGGTTTCAAAGACATACTTGCTCTCAAGTTCAGGAAAATACAGGAAAGAAAAATGCCTCTTTGTGCTATAAATGCTTTATAATTGTGAGGTCAGTCTGAAGACTTCTGAGGGCCTAACTGCAAGGATACAAGGATGCTGATGTGGAGTGGGCTGCATTTCCAATGCTGGAACCCCTTAGATGGTCACATCAGAACCAGGCAAAGGGAGTAATAAGAGTTAAGGATGGTAAGGAAGGTAGAAAATGTTGAAAGCTAGGTTGGAAAGAGAGGTGGACAGTTTAGGAAGAACCAGTGAATGTGACTGGTAGAAGTTTTGCCTGTAAGTGAAAAGGGCTTGTGAGTACTGAGGAAAATATCTGATAACAAACTCAGTGGTGTTTATAATGAGTTTTGTGATCAAGTTTCCTGGCAGTTTTTGAGTCAGCCTAGGTTAGGGACCTTAAAACATGGGAACCAAGAGCCAGGAACCAAGAATAAACATTGTGTTGATAGATAACTTGACCCATAGCATCTGCACATTTTCTTCAGGTTTCTCACTCCCCAATGAGGCTATCACAGCTAACAGTGCTTCTAACCTTGCACTGATGACTTCCCAGAACTTGGCATAAGCATATTCTGGTGAAACTTGGGTTGGAGCACAGCTCTATAAATAGTAGAGTGCATGCTTAGCATGTTCAGAGCCCAGGATCAAACCCCAGTATTACAAAACAAACAAAAATCGGATGAAATTCACCATTTGACTTAAAGGAAACCTTGTCATAAGGCCAGATTTAGTACACCAACTGGACTTTTTAAAGAAATTAATTTTTATTAGCGTGTATTAATTGTGCAAAGGGGTTCCATTGTGGTATTTCCTTACATGCATATAATGTACTTTAATCTGACTTCACCTCTTCTGTTACTTTTCCCCTTCTTTAAAGGGTTTCGTTACTCATTTTTTACATGTGTATGAAGTACTCTGATCATATTCACCCCCTCTTCATCCTCCTGCTAATTTCTACCCCAGCCAGCATTTGTTTTTCTTAGTCTAAATTCCACATATGAGAGAGAAGATGTGGTATTTGTTTCTCAGTCTGGCTTATTTCACGTAACATGGTGATCTCCAGTTCCACGCATTTTCATGCAAACAACATTTTATTCTTCTTTAAGGCTGGATAATAGTCCTCTGTGTGTGTGTGTTTGTACACATACACTACATTTTCTATATCCATCAGTTGTAGGGCACCTAGGCTGATTTCATAGTTTAGCTATTGAGAATAGTGCTGCATTAAACATGACTGTGCAGGTATATAGTGTATGCTGGTTGATTCCTTTGGATATATGCTCAGGAGTGATGTAATAGGATCATTTAGTACTTCTAATTTTAGGGTTTTTTTGTTTGCTTTTGCTTTTTTTTTCCTATGATGGTAGTGAGGTTTAAACTTAGGTCCTCGTGTTTTCTAGGCAGTTACTCTACCATTTGAGTCAAAACCTCCAGTCCCTAATTTTAGTTTTGTAAGGAACTTCCATATTAGTGGCTCCACTAATTTACATTCCCTCCTACCAAATTTATGGTTCCTTATTCCCCTGCATCCTCGCCCACACTTGTATTGTTAGTTTTCTTGATGGCAGCTGCTCTGATGAGAGTGTTGTTTTGATTTGCATTTACTTTGTGACTAAGAATGTGGAACATTTCATGTGCTCATTGACCATTTCTACCTGTTGAGAACTGTATTAATTCGTTTGCCAATTTATTAATTGGATTGTATGTTCTTTTGGCACTTAATTTTTGGAGCTCTTTATATATTCTGGACATGAATCCTTTATTCACTAGCTGGCAAAAATTTTCTCCCATTCTGTAGATTGTCTCTTGATTCTGGTAATTGCATCTTTTGCTGTGCAGAAGCTTTAGTTATTTTTGTGATAGGGTCTCATGTTTACTCCTGGTGCTAGCCTGGACTTTGATACTCCTATTTACACTTCCTGTGTAGGTGGGATACCAAGTGAGCGCCACCATACCCAGCTTTTATTCATCGAGATGGGATCTCACTAACTTTTTTGCCCAGGCTGGCCTTAAAACACAGTTCTCCCAATCTCTGCCTCCCATGTAGCTATTTTGAATTAATTTTTGTACAGGGTGACAGGTAGGGAGGGATCTAGCTTTAATCTTCTACATGTGGATATCCAGTTTTTCCAGTACCATTTGTTGAGCAGGTGGTCTTTTCTCCAGTTTTTGGTGCCTTTGTTGAAAATCAGATGGCTGTAGCTGTGTACGTTTATTTCTGGATCTTCATTTCCATTAGTGCATATGTCTGCTTTTGTGCTAGTACCATGCTGACTTTGTTACTATGGCTCTGTAGTGTAATTTGAAGTCCAGTATTACGGTATCTCCAGTATTGCTGCACATTTGCTATTCGGGGTCTTCTGTGCTTCCATATGAATTTTAGGATTGATACTTCTGTGACTGCGAGGAATGACATTGGAATTTTTGTGAGCATTGCATTGAATCTGTAGGTTGCTTTTCATGATACTAATTCTGCCAATTCATGAACATGGAAAGTCATTCCATCTTTTGGTATCTTCAATTTCTTTCTTCAAGCTTTGGTAGTTTTCATTATAGAGGTCTTTGCCTTCCTTGGTTAGGTTTATACTTAGGTTTTATGTATTTATTTTTGAGGCTATTTTTTTTTCTTTCATTTTTCTTTTATTATTCATATGTGCATACAAGGATTGGTTCATTTCTCCCCACTGCCCCCACCCCCTCCCTTACCACCCACTCTGCCCCCTCCCTCTCCCTCCCCTCAATACCCAGCAGAAACTATTTTGCCCTTATTTCTAATTTTGTTGAAGAGAGAGTATAAGCAATAATAGGAAGGAACAAGGGTTTTTGCTGGTTGAGATAAGGATAGCTATACAGGGCATTGACTCACATTGATTTCCTGTGCGTGGGTGTTACCTTCTAGGTTAATTCTTTTTGATCTCACCTTTTCTCTAGTACCTGTTCCCCTTTTCCTATTGGCCTCAGTTGCTTTTAAGGTATCTGCTTTAGTTTCTCTGCGTTAAGGGCAACAAATGCTAGCTAGTTTTTTAGGTGTCTTACCTATCCTCATCCCTCCCTTGTGTGCTCTCGCTTTTATCATGTGCTCATAGTCCAATCCCCTTGTTGTGTTTGCCCTTGATCTAATGTCCACATATGAGGGAGAACATACGATTTTTGGTCTTTTGGCCAGGCTAACCTCACTCAGAATGATGTTCTCCAATTCCATCCATTTACCAGCGAATGATAACATTTCGTTCTTCTTCATGGCTGCATAAAATTCCATTGTGTATAGATACCACATTTTCTTAATCCATTCGTCAGTGGTGGGGCATCTTGGCTGTTTCCATAACTTGGCTATTGTGAATAGTGCCGCAATAAACATGGATGTGCAGGTGCCTCTGGAGTAACAGTCTTTTGGGTATATCCCCAAGAGTGGTATTGCTGGATCAAATGGTAGATCGATGTCCAGCTTTTTAAGTAGCCTCCAAATTTTTTTCCAGAGTGGTTGTACTAGTCTACATTCCCACCAACAGTGTAAGAGGGTTCCTTTTTCCCCGCATCCTCGCCAACACCTGTTGTTGGTGGTGTTGCTGATGATGGCTATTCTAACAGGGGTGAGGTGGAATCTTAGTGTGGTTTTAATTTGCATTTCCTTTATTGCTAGAGATGGTGAGCATTTTTTCATGTGTTTTTGGCCATTTGAATTTCTTCTTTTGAGAAAGTTCTGTTTAGTTCACTTGCCCATTTCTTTATTGGTTCATTAGTTTTGGGAGAATTTAGTTTTTTAAGTTCCCTGTATATTCTGGTTATCAGTCCTTTGTCTGATGTATAGTTGGCAAATATTTTCTCCCACTCTGTGGGTGTTCTCTTCAGTTTAGAGACCATTTCTTTTGATGAACAGAAGCTTTTTAGTTTTATGAGGTCCCATTTATCTATGCTATCTCTTAGTTGCTGTGCTGCTGGGGTTTCATTGAGAAAGTTCTTACCTATACCTACTAACTCCAGAGTATTTCCTACTCTTTCTTGTATCAACTTAGAGTTTGGGTCTGATATTAAGATCCTTGATCCATTTTGAGTTAATCTTGGTATAGGGTGATATACATGGATCTAGTTTCAGTTTTTTGCAGACTGCTAACCAGTTTTCCCAGCAGTTTTTGTTGAAGAGGCTGCTATTTCTCCATCGTATATTTTTAGCTCCTTTGTCAAAGATAAGTTGCTTATAGTTGTGTGGCTTCATATCTGGGTCCTCTATTCTGTTCCACTGGTCTTCATGTCTGTTTTTGTGCCAGTACCATGCTGTTTTTATTGTTATTGCTTTGTAATATAGTTTGAAGTCAGGTATTGTGATACCTCCTGCATTGTTCTTTTGACTGAGTATTGCCTTGGCTATTCGTGGCCTCTTGTGTTTCCATATAAATTTAACAGTAGATTTTTCAATCTCTTTAATGAATGTCATTGGAATTTTGATGGGAATTGCATTAAACATGTAGATTACTTTTGGGAGTATCGACATTTTTACTATGTTGATTCTACCAATCCATGAGCATGGGAGATCTCTCCACTTTCTATAGTCTTCCTCAATCTCTTTCTTCAGAAGTGTATAGTTTTCCTTGTAGAGGTCTTTCACATCTTTTGTTAGGTTTACACCTAGGTATTTGATTTTTTTGAGGCTATTGTAAATGGAATTGTTTTCATACATTCTTTTTCAGTTTGCTCATTGTTAGTGTATAGAAATGCTAATGA